TACGCCGCGTACTCATTTTTTATTTTTATATAAAATATCATAAAATTTTATAATATAAATAATAATATTTTTTTAATATTAATAATAATAATTTTTTCAAATTTATTAATAATATTATTTATAATAAAAATAATTATATTTATAACATAAATGACACTATTTTTAATATTAATACTTTCAATTATAATAAAAATATAATATTTATAAAAAAAAATAATACTATTTTTCATATTAATACTTTTAATTATAATAAAAATAATAATATTTAAAATACAAATAATTATATTTATAAACCTAAGACTCAACAATCTTGGATCCTGACGTAAGACTCAGTAAGCTTGGGTCCTAATACTGGACTTAAGACAATCTAGTTCTGAAGCAGGATCCTATTGAATTGAGTCTAGACGCAGGACTCAAGAGATTGGGCCTAACGCATGACCCATTGTCCTTGAGTCCTAATGCATAACCCATTCAACTTGGGTTTTGAGGCAAGATCTAGGAGCATTGACTCCTAACGCATGACTCATTTGAAGGATAAAAATATAAATTATTATTCTTATTATCATTAATAAACTTGAAATAAAATAGTATTACCACTAAAGAAAAACTATATAGTTGATTTAAATGATAAAATTAAAAATTATTATTAGTATTTATGCTATAAATATTATTATTTTTATTATAATTGAAGGTATTAATATTAAAAATATTAATATTTATGTTATAAATATTAATATTTCAATTATAGCTCAAAGTATTATTATTTGTGGTAAAAATATTATTATTTTTGTTATCATTGAAGGCATTAATATTAAAAATAGTATTATTTATGGTATAAATATTATTATTTAACATGTTTGCCCAAATTTTTACTTTTTTTAATCTTAAAAAAATAATTATGGTTTTTCTTCTATAGTAATAATAGTTTTTTAGAATTTATTAATAATGATGACGATGATGATGATGATAGTAGTAATAGTAGTAGTAGTAGTAATTTTTAATTTTACCTTTCAAATCAAATATATGGTTGTTTTTCAATATTAATAATAATTTTTTTAAAATTTATTAATTATTTTATTAATAATATTAATTAAAATTAAAATAATAATATTTATAAGAAAAATAATAATATTTTTATTATAATATTATTAATTATAGTAAAAATAATAATTTTATAACACAAATGATAATATTAATACTTTCAATTATAATAAAAATAATTATATTTAAAATACAAATGATTATATTCAGAAACCTAAAACCCAAAAACCTTGAGTCTTGATGAAGGACCCAATAGAATTGGGTCTTGATACATGACCCATTAAACTTGGCTCTTGATGTTGGACCCAAAACCATCGGATCCTGATGCCAGACTCATTACTCTTGGTCTTGACACAGGACCCAAGCGAATTGAGCTTTGAGGCATGACCCATTACCATTAGGTCTTGGTACAGGATCCTAGCGAATTGGGTCCAGACATAGGACCCATTACTATTGGGTCCTAACACATGACCGAGGCGAATTAGGTCCAGACACAGGACTCATTATCATTGGGTCCTGACGTAGCATCCATTTGAAGGATAAAAGTATAAATTATTGTTCTTATTATCATTATTGTCCTTCATAAATTTGAAATAAAATATTATTAATATTTGTGTTATAAATATTAATATTTCTATTATAGTTCAAAGTATTAATACAAAAAATATTATTATTTATGGTACAAAGATTATTATTTTAATATCATTGAAAGTATTAATATTAAAAATAGTATTATTTGAGTTCTAAATATTATTATTATTATTATTATTATTATTATTATTCAAAGTATTAATATCAAAAATACTATTATTCGGGGTATAAATATTATTACTTTTATTATAATTGAACTAATAATATTTAGAACACAAATTATAATATGTTTGATATTAATACTTTCAACTATAATAAAAATAATTATATTTACAAGGGAAATAATTATATTTAGAAACCTAAGACCCAGTAGCCTTGGATCCTAACAAAGAACCCAAGAAAATTAGGTTCTGACGCGGACCTAAGAGCATTGGGTCCTGTTGCAGGACTTAAGAGTATTGGATCCGGATGTAAGACTCAAGAGAATTGGGTCCTGACGTTGGACCCATAAGCCTTGGGTCTCACCAGGGTTTGTAGTCATGCGTGCGGGTCTGACCCAGCGCACATGCAAGGCAGCCTCAGCGCTAGCTGTCCCCATATGGCGCTCGAGTCTAGCTCAGTGCCCAGGGCTTGCCAGCGCCAGGTGTCTGCATCTCACGACCTGGAGCCCTAACAAAACTAGAACTGGCCATTTTCTCCTCGACCATCCCTTCAATGCCAAATGCATCCTAGTAAAAAGACAACATCACCCCTCCCCCTATTGTCTTTGCAATTCTCTATAGTAAGGGCAGCTCTGTCATTACACTGTTCCAATCCACAGTCTTTTATATCTAGGTAAATAGTAACAGAAACACAGAGCTCTTTTAGTATATTGTATAATATATTCTTAAAATTCATAAACACAACATATTCAAGCTTTCTTTAAACTTAAACATGTGAATTTCCCTTTTCTTACCAAATCATTATTAACCATAATCTCACACAATAATTATGCATAATTTTACAATATCTAACACATTACTATAGTTTCAAATATTTTCCTCTTTTGCCTAACCAAATGTTCCTCCTCCCTTCACCATGATTATTTTTTTCTAATTCACCAAGATTTCTCTCTTTCTTACATGTTTTCATAATCTAATACAATTATTAACAACTAATATTGTATCTCCTAAATTCTCTTATAAAAAACCTAATCCTATTTTAAGAATTCAAATAAAATAAACTAAATCTAATAAAAACATGTTTAGATGTGCTTAAAATACCATAGCAAGAAAAGAGTTGAGCTTTAAACAATTACAAATCAAAAGTCTCCAAACTCCCTTCCTCCTCCAAGATTTTTGTCCCTCTCTCTCTCTCTCACTCTCTCTCTCTATTCTTTTTCACTTGATTATATTCTCTCTAATAAGTTGTTTAAGTGTCTAATCATACAAAACCTCACTTCTTCCACTATTATCTTTGACTTTTTCTAAGGTTTTCTCTAAAAATATTCTAGAATTCTCTCGAGCTCTCTTCATTTCTCTCTTAGTCGGCCATGTTGGCCTATTTATATCCAATAATATAATTAATTTCTTTTATGTCCTTACCTTGTGCCTTTTATGTTTTCTGGGTAATTTTTTCTAGATTATGTTACTCATTTACACTAAATTTAAGCTGCGCTATTTCAAATTTCATTGAATTGTATTCCACTATTTTTCTTTGCTCAAGCATCAATTTCATTCAAGTTTTATTTGTGTTTTTGTAATATTTATTTTTCAGGTATTTTCCTATTTCAATTTTAAAAAAACACATGTATAAATGTTTTATTTAATTTTCTTCCATCTATTAGCTTACCTATAAGGTAAATATTCACCTTAATTAGTTGGAATAAATTTTTCCCCCATTAATTTCATAATAATATTTTTTTTCCAATTGTTTACATTTCTCCCCTAACACATGTCTTGGTAACACGTTTAATGTTAAGCCATTATCAATCAATGCCTTACTTATCAAAAATCTTTACATTGTATTGTGATGCATAACAATTTATTGTATCTAGTATATTCAGGGTCTAGCTCATCTTCAGTAAAATACAGATAATTTGAGACTTAAATTCTACTTACCAGTTGCTCTATGATTTATTAATTGATATTTTGAAGCATATATTCCTCATTTAACACCTTTTGTAAAGCCTTTCAATATGGTTTGGAGCTTAAGATCAAAGATAACAAATATATCCTAGCAGGAGTTCTTTTAAGTTGCTTAACAACATTATACTTGTTGTGCTTCATTAATTTCAAGAATTTATTAGTTTCTTCTTCGACTACAAACTTGTTTATTTTCTCAAACAAATCAACTACTTCTTTACCCTTAACTTTTCTTTACTTCTTAAGCTCCTTAGGGGTAAAGCACCTTTCACTATGAGTCAAGCCTTAAATGTTTGCTTGAAAACCAGGTGTTGGTTGAGAGCATCGGAAGAAATACCTATAATTTATATGGTAAGACCTTATAGCTCCCATTACTTGCTACTTTGGGTTTGGACAAAATCATATGCATCACTTCATTATGGATATCTTCACATTGATCAATCATATGATCTTTTTTTTGGTGATACTTGTAGAAACTCTTACTTATCAGCTTATTCTCGCAACTACTCTTTATTTACCCAAATCAGTGATAATCAAGTATTTCTCCTATTTACTATTAGAATCCGATGACTTTATCTATCCTTTCTCAAACCATAGATAAAAAAATAATCAAGTTATGGATCAAAATTAAAATTTCAAAAACCTAATGGACCAAAAAAATAAATTGAAAAATATAAAGACCAAATTGAACTTTTCTGCACAAATTTTGAAGTTGCCACCTATTTTCTTTGCCTTTTATACTTAGGTACTCCATCTTTCAATCCTATCCTTGTGCAACAAATAAGAGCCAATCGACCATTAATTTAGCCATAAAAGAGCTTAATTGAGGAGAAAAAAAATTGAATGACCAAAGAAAAAATAATGATTGTAGAAGTACATAGTGAAAAGATACATGAAAAATCATATGTTACACATTCCTTTCAGTTTTCTTATAATTATAATATCTTCAGCAATAAAAACCCTCTTACCAGGCAGATTCCTATGATCAATTCAATGTGTAAGATTTGAGTGATCTTTTAAAATCTAACCCAAACATGATTTTGATTTCTTTACGCGGAACTTCAGTATTTGCTTAAACCCAAAGAAGTGAATTAAAGTTTTAAGAATGGTTTTCTTGGGCTTGTTTAATACTAGCTGACTGAGTAGTCTCGAATGATGGGCCAATGCAGCCCAAGTTCTTCTCCGCAGCATAGACGAAAGATCACAGACCAGTATCAATCGTAAATAAAACAATGAGCTCGATATTATCGAGGACACATAATTAAGAACAAAGCTACCATTTCTTAGTGCGATTTTTCCTTTTTTGATTACTCAAACAAAAGAAAGTCCAAGAAATGACTGCTCTCTCAACTTCTCTTCTTTCAATTGCAACTCCCCAAGCTCACTTTTTATCTGCTGGTAATTTTGTTTTCTCTGATTATGTGGATTCTGACTGCTGATTTAGTTTTTGTAAGCTTTATTTGATTGGGATAAATATTCAAGAAATGAAAAGAAAATTCCTTTTTTTAATTTTTTTTCTCATTTGTTTGCTAATTTGTAGAATCTAGGCTTTCGTTCTTACTACATTTCTTCATAGGAGTTTTATTAAGGAATTAAAGATTGGATTTTTATGCACCAAGTTATGGCCTTTGAGAACTGGGTTTTAAAGGAAAGTTTGAAATGTGAAAGATCCAAAATATCATGCTAATTTTGGAAGAACTGGTGATGAAATTTCATTTTGTGTCAATTTTCTCGAAATTTTAATTTATAATGGAGTCTGATCATGTAGCAAACAAATTTTTTAGCCTTTTCAATCTATTGATATAATGGAGGACATTACCTGATTAACTTCTAATTATTGCTAATACTGAACTGGAAATATTTTTTAATTTGCTTTATGTTTCTAGATGATATGCTTTGCTGTTCAGGTTACTTAGGAAGGCACTTTGTGCTCTTATTTACGAATTATTATTGCATTTGAAGATACCTAATTCATGATGGTTCTCAATTTTGTATATGCATTTCTCTTCTTTTTCCTATCCAGCATTACCACTTCACACTGATTGGTAATACTGTTTTGTTCATTGGTTTCCCTGCTTTTTCTAATCATTAGTTATCATGAAATTCCAGGCTCTTCTTTGAAGCCAAAAGACCAATGCCTAATATGCGTTAGACCTGGTAATCTCTCTAGTAGAGGAAAACCCACAACACATAAAAAGTCACTAACAATTCAAGCAAGGTATGGTGTTGTTGTAATTTGTTGGACTGTGCATCATCTGTTGTAAAGACAGATTAGCAGCATCAAGGTTAATTTTTTCAATGGCTACTGTCACCCATTTGAGGGTGTGCGCTCTCATGAACTGAGACTTTTGTTATCTGTTAGGATCACCTATAAAACATGAAAGCTGTGACACTGATAGACTCACACATGGTTGGATTTTATATGTGCTCTTTTTCCTCTTTCTCCACTATAATTTTGTTTTACTTCCATTTCAGAACTGCTTTTGTATTTATGTTTTCCAATAGCCACTGCCTACCATTAAGAGTCCAAATTCAAGTCATAAAACCTAATTTATCTCTGAAATCAGGTGGATAGTCAATTAGTCCTCCTTTTCTTTTTGCTTGCTGCTTCTCTACTATCAGTTTTGTAAGTTTTATATACTTGTTGTATCATATTCATTACTTTTTACTCGACATCTCCAAGAGGGGTCTTTGATCCACACCCGCCCACCACCATATCTCTCTTTCAACTGTGATTTTTCTTCTTTTTTTCCTCTCATGTGCAAGGACAGTGGTGAGCGTGGTGGATCAAGTGGTGCAGGTATCTTCATTGGCGGTTTCATATTGGGAGGAATGGTAGCTGGAACATTGGGTTGTGTATATGCTCCACAGGTACTGCTCAATGACTAATGTGATATGCTATAGTTCAATTTGCTATATATATTGTACTTGTGTTTCTTTAAATTATTCATTGAGATGGATGGCGTGTGTTTTCTTCAAGACTATTTAGTATTGTGAAACTTGCTAGCTTGACTACTACCAGACATGACATGTTTATTTTTGCGCCTTGTAATCTGCCCATACTGCAGATTGTTTCTTTTGATAAGGTTTCGAATAACAAGTTGTTTGATTGTCTTGTAAGAAGCACTACAAGGTGCACTAATAAATTATTATGGATTATTTACCATTGGTTTTCTTTTGTCCAGTAGAATATTGCTTGTAGGCTGTGCACCTTACATGAGGTAGTTGTAACACGTGCAAAAAATGACACATATTATGTATCTGATTGATGTTTACTTGTATTTCAGATTAGCAAGGCATTAGCTGGAGCAGACAGAAAAGATTTGATGAGGAAGCTACCCAAGTTCATATATGATGAGGAGAAAGCTTTGGAGGTGGGAATTTGTTATTTCATTTATCATCCATTTAAATCATGCTTAGTGACCTGTATTTGCGTTATCTAATTTCAATTTGAAATTTTTAATCAGTATTTCGTTGATACTGTGGCTAGAGGAAGAGAAATAAGTGAGCTATCCCACTTTCTTTAGGTTGTTAGCATTACATCCAAGAATGTGCATGCTTGTGCGAAAAAGTCTGTTGATTGTCAAACAATATAGAAGGCTTTTAGCAGTAGATTTTCTGAAAGACATCTAGACTGGTCATACTGTTTAACAAAATCAAGCCTAAAGCCATGTATTATGCTCCTGCACATTAGCTTCTTTTCTCTCTTTTTTTTTTTTTTTTTTTGTATCTTGCTCATTATTTGCATTGAAATTTCTTTGGTTTTCATGTTATGGTAACAGAAAACCCGCCAAGTGCTTGCTGACAAGATTGCACAGCTAAATTCTGCTATAGATGAGGTTTCTGCTCAACTGCATCCAGAAGATGCCCCCAATGGAACTGCAGTGGCCTCAGATGAGATCCAAGCTTCCATATAAGAAAATGTTCATTGAAATCTCAATCCAAGTTTCTACTTATTACTTGTGATCAGCATTATAATTCAAAACTTAATCTCTTTTGGTTCTGTTTCTGTTAACTCCTTTCAGTAAATTTTTGTGGTTGAATATAGTCTGCTTTAAACAATATTAATAAATCAGATACTCACTGTGGCTTTAGTGCCTTAGTGCAGCATGCTCTAGTTTGCTTTGCTGTTGCAAAGTGGTGGCCAGGATTTTTATCCAATTGGCTTGCCAGCATTTTATGGTTCATACGGTGGACTTGATAAATTTGGAAAGGGTCATCCATCAAGAAACATTTTATGGCCTAATGATCCTGCGGGCTCGTCAATTATTTCTTTCGATGAGGTTTTGGGTATGGCCTCTTGGAAACTCTGGCTGGCCCAAGAGTAATGGCTTTGTTTGGAGTAGTTATGCTGGTGTCTTGTTTATGCAGCAAATTACCGTTGGCATTCAAATAATGTCAAAATCAAGACACTAGCAGATGTTACTACTTGTTCTCAGTAAAAGTTTAGTGATGCAAGTTGTTTGATGCAAGAAATATGATGTGTCTTTAACGGACAGATGAAGGGTATTAATTGAAGAAAATATAAGCGTGATTAACAGTATTGTTCATCAAAAAGATTTTCGGTTCCTTAGCATCAACTATAAACATGTTTTGTCGTAGATTTGTCAGTGGTGGCATCCAAAATATCCGTACAAGTATCAGGTTTTGATGGCTTAATTTAATTATTATATTTTTAATATATTGGTTATTAGAGTTTCTGTTCAACAGATAATGGACAAGTATTTATGCCACGACTAATCTTAGTAGTTGAGTCATGTACCCAGTATTTTTACCCAGTGTTTCTACGATAATGCTTGGCTGGTCTAGATTTCCCAGGCTAGTCAAGCATGCGTTGCATGCTTGAAAAAGGAGCCATAATTGACAAGAGAAATAAATGGGATGTCGTTTATGTTTACAAAGAGAACTTTCATATACTTATATTGAACTTATATACAAAGAATAGCCACAGTTAAGGATGGAATGAGTTGTTGTACATAAACTGAGAAAGGAAGGATGACAGGCAAATTAAAAAAGCTAAAGGAGATTTAGTGTTTTCCTTTGAAGGTGAACAGTCAATTAAAATCGTATAATGAACATCTTATTTCTTAATAAAAATTCCATTACTTAATTTTAGATTTTCCGGGGATATCTTGTTCTTTTTACTTTTTTAAAAGTAAAAACCCAATAAAATGATTAGATTACTTTTAAAAACAAAATTTATTTAACTAAAAATTTAGGGTTACTTTAGATTTTTACCTTTTAAACTATAGTAAAAAAACTAGATTACCTTTAAAAGCAAAGTTTTTTAACTAACATCTCGAGACTTTTTCGTATTTTCATCCTAGTATTTTAATGAATATAAAATATTATTTTTAAGCCAAATGTGATCGGCTCATGCCACGAATATGTTAGCAAGTGGAAGAAGTCTAAGCTCTTCAAGCGATGCATGAGATGTTTTCCTGGTAACTAAACACCACCTTCCACAATGATATTAGAAGCATCTTGATGTCCTTTTCATAGTGGTTAAGCATGTGTATACAACAAAACAATAGTTAGGCTCCAATGGATTTCCCCCCAATATTTTCTCTTTCCTTGTCTCAGGTTTCGTATCTACCTTGTCAAAAATTAAATGTGTCTCACCAATAAATATTTGTATCAATTCTTATTTTTTTTTATTATTTGTTTTGAATTTATTGCTTTTTTAAGCTAATTTTGTTTTTCAAATTTATCCTTTAATATTTGATTTCATTTAATTTTTACATCTAATTTGATGTTTATTCTTTTAATTGCTATTTTTTATCATTTATTTTTATTTTTTAAAATTATCAATTTTGTGCCACATTATTTTATTTCATTTAATTTTTATACTAAATTTGATTCTTATTTTTTTATTGTTATTTATTTTGTTTTATAATCCTTGTCTTGATTAAATTTTATTTTTCAATTTCATCCCTTGATACTTGGATGATTAAGAATTTTGCTTTGTGATATTTTTGTGTTTTCCTTCTATAAGGAGATTTATTCTCATGATTCGTTTCATAGGTTTAAAAAATTATCCCGATTTAACTTCGGTATTTTTTTTTAAAATATTTTTTTCATTTTATAATTTGACATCAGATTATTGGGTCATGAGCTTCATAATTTTTTCTGTTTTTCTTTTTATGAGTCATGGCTTTAGAGTTGTTTTATAGGCCAAGAGGGAAGGTTATAAAGCCTATTAGCTGAGTCATCTTGAATCATTATGTTTGGGGATGGATCATGGTTTGATTGAAGATGAAGATTAAAATATGTTTGGTTCTGTAGCTAACTAGCAATGCAAGGACATACATAACTCTTATGTTTTGGACAATTTAGGGTGATATTTTTTATATGAATTTTACAGAAGGTTTTGGGGCATAAAATAATTGAGTTTCAGTTGGTATGAGAGGAAAATGATAGGGTGTGAGGGGATTTGAAGTTTATCTTTTTTGGTGAAGAGATAAAGAAGAATCAAAAGCATGAAAGTTGGTACTTGGGCAAATTTTCTTTTAATTAAAAGAAGATAATTAACAGTGAAATTAAAACCTCTTTTAATCCAGTCCCTAAACCTTTGAAACTTTGTAACTGACCCAATCAGCTTTAATCTTTTTGAATCTTTACAATTTCACCCCTCGTCCTTTTTAATTAGACCTTTAAATTCAAATGTTTTTTACAAGGTGATTCTTAGTCTCAAGTTTCTTTAATTAATCCTTAATTAAAGACTATCAAACTTATAAGAAGAACACATCTATTAATGAGTTTTAATAGGTTAAAATAAAGGGAAAGAAGTCGTTACCTAGAATGAAAGTAATTAGAAAATTTAATGGCTTGTCTTCTAGAGATCAATCGTAAGGGATTGGTTAGAAGGAAAGATAGCAATCACCCATCAATATCTTACTTGTGGCATGTTACATTGCATCACCCACTATTTTTTTTTTCTAGTTATCTAAACATGTTGGGTGCTCAAGAAAAGGGGTAAAGGGAGGAGAAAAAGACAGAAGAAAAGAAGAGAGTGAAATACAGAGAATAGAGAAAATAATAAATGGTCCCTTTTTTTTCCATCTCCTTTAGCTTTTTATGTGGGATTTCTTCTTATAACATTAAGTAAGATGTGTAACCAGATGGTTTAAAATATATACTAATCCTTGTCTTGTGTTTGTGGTATTTTAGTTAAATAGTGTTTCTTATCTTAATCTTAATTATAAGGCTCAACTCCTGTGCCTGGTCTTTGAAAAAAAATTTTTAGCCATTCCTGGGCTTGAAAGGTCAAACTTGCCCACTTGGTAATTTAAAAAAAAAAAGCAAGTGAATAATATGTCATCCATTGCAACAATTTATAGCCATCTTTAATGGTTGAAAAATATGGGTATGAGTTTTTGGATCTTGAAAACCCAAAGTTTAACATGTTCTCACCTAAAATACTAAAAATATATATTATAGGAACCTCCATAACCCAATTTCCAATAATAAAAAAACATATTTTAGTTAGCTTAAAATCTCAAAATCAAATTAAATTGAAGTAAATGTTTTAGATCATGGTGTACTTTTTTAGCATGATTAAAAGATTCAAACATTACTAAAAAATTCATGAATACGAAAGGAAACACTAATAGATTTTTTTTATGTAATATTTAATATATAACCTGATGCTCGACCCTCCTCTCACCCCTCCTTTATTTCTACTTCCTTAAAATTTCTCTAACAAACAACCCTTTATCCCCCCCTCCCTCAATCTCAACACAACTTATCCTCCAGCAACTTTTCTAGTCATAACAACTCTCTATTTGTCAGCATTTGTGTTTTGATTGAAATTTTGTTAAGGATTTTTCATCTTAAGTAAACAAATATATCTTCTTCTTCTTTTTTTTTTTTAATTTGAACACAATTTAAAAATGTTTTTTTTTGCATATTTTTATAGTATATGTATTTTATTTGGGGTGTTGTTTTTTTTCTCAAACAAACTTGTTATATGGATTTATAATTCTGTACATGCTATGGTTTGTTTTAGAAGGCAAAAAAGAGAGAACCTAGAGAGAAAAGAAAAACAGGACTAGGAGAAAGAGTAGGAAAGACTAAAAATAGAAGTAGAAAGGAAAAAAGTAGTTTTGTGCCAGCCAGCATACCTTCACCATCGTCTTCATCCCTTCATCTCCAGACCAAGTAAGTTCTTTATTTCCCTCCTTTTTGTAATTATAATTACATAGGTACTATACACATGCAAATTTAATTCATCACCTACTATTCATACTATTTATTTGTACACGTACGCGTGAATTAATTTACATATGCCTACTGCCTAGTTGGATCATTGGCTTGGGCTAGTGATTAGGCCAGGCTAGTTGGATCTAGCCTAGTGATTAGTACTTAAAAGTGCATTTTTATCATGGTTTTATATCATCATTTTGCACTTGAAGTATCAATAACTCCTTAACCAAAGCATATTTTATAATAATATATCTAATAATACAAGATA